GACTCTCTATATCTCCACCGGCCGCATGATCGACCATGTATTGAAGAGTTTGGTGGAGACCATCGTAGAAGAATTGGTTGAGCACACCGTGTAACACCCCGCCTTATCATGAAAATCAGAGTGCGTTTATACAAACCTTTTTAAATAAAATACTGATTGGTTTGCAAAATACTGTTTCGAAGTACTACCATAATACATGACTTACTTTTAAATCAGACTAGTTTTAAGAAAACAGACTCACAGTCTGCTGATAGTCAAAAGGACTAAGTTTAACAAAAGTGAAATGTCAGCGGAAACTGTAGCGGCAAACCAGGATAGCAGTGCTATGATCATGAAAATGAGGCTACGGGAGATAGCAATAGCACTGCTATGCCAAATTCAAACTGTACAAAACGTAATTTAAACTTTATAAGCATAACTCCCGTACAATTTAAACTTTATAAGCACACTTAGACATGATTAAGCTCGGTAAAATATTTATCGAGCGATTAGACATGAATTAATTATCGGAAAATTATTTCGAACATGACGTGATATTCAAAAGTTAATTCGAACGTTCTTAACTGAATTAATTAGTTCTGAACGATAACGCTTGATAAAATAAATATTTCAGAACTAAACATGATATTACATTAATAAACATAACGTGATATTACAATCTACCCCCCTTAAAATATTTCCGTCCTCGGAAATACAAAACGGGACATAAATACATGAAACATGAAAGAACATATACATCAGAACTGGAAATCAGGAAAACGAGCGCGAATATTAGCCTCCTGCTCCCAAGTAGCTCCGTGGCGATCCCACTGAATACGAACGAGGGAAACATCACGCTTCCAGAGCCGTCGAACCTGTCGGTCCAACACAGCTACCGGTCGCTCCTCGTAAGATAAGTCTGGATGGATCTGAATATCAGTATGAGGAATGACATGATCGGGGTCGCACACGTACTTACGTAACATGGATACATGAAAAACATTATGAACACTGGATAACTCGGGAGGTAAGGCCAATCGATACGCAACTTCGCCCACTCGCTCAAGTACTTCGAACGGGCCAATGAATCAAGGGTGCAACTTCCCTCTCTTCCCGAATCGAATAACTCCGCGAAATGGACTAACTCTGAGAAAAACTCGTTCGCCAACCTCGAAATGAATATCTCGTCGATGCTGATCGGCTGAAGATTTCTATCGACTCTGAGCTTTCTTGAGCCTCTGCCGGATCAACTCAACCTGCTCTGCAATCTCCTCGATCATCTTCGGACCGAGTACTCGACGTTCACCGACATCGTCCTAATAAAGAGGGAAATGACACTTACGACCGTAAAATGCTTCGTAAGGAGCCATCTTAATAGAAGAATGATAATTGTTGTTGTACGCAAACTCCACATATGGCAACAACGACTCCCACTTAGCACCCCTATCAACAACCAAAGCTCGTAACATATCCTCCAACGTCTGAATGGTCCGCTCTGTCTGTCCATCAGTCTCTGGATGGTAGGTTGTACTGAATACCAACTTTGTGCCCATCGTCTTGTGCAAACTCTGCCAGAATCTACTAGTGAATCTGGGATCTATGTCTGACACAACAGTAACAGGCACTCTGTGGAGTCGAACGATCCCACGAGTATAAATCTTAGCCAACTTGTCCAAAGACATATTCATCGATACCGGCAAGAAATGAGCAACCTTAGTCAATCTGTCGACCACGACCCAAATAGCATCGTGATGATCAGACGACCTCAGTAAATCCATAACGAAATCCATCGTAACCTCCTCCCACTTCCACCTCGGAATCGATAGTGGTTGTAGAAGGCCTATGGGACTCTTGTGCTCGGCTTTGACTTGGTGACAGGTTAAACATTTCCTCACAAAGTCGGCTACGTCTTTCTTCAAACCTCTCCACCAGAATGACCTTTTCAGGTCATGATACATCTTTGTACTTCCTGGATGGGCTAGATATGGTGCGGTATGAGCCTCCGTCAAGATCTCCTTCCTCAACGTCTCGACTTTTGGCACCACAATCCTGCCGCGAAACTCCAAGGCCCCATCTGTGCCTCGGTGAAAACCCTCAACGCCTCCGACGCGGACTTTGGCATCAATAGTACAAACGAATTCATCTGAAGCCTGCTCCCGCCAGATTCTCTCCCTCAGCGTCGGTTGAATCTTCATAGAACTAAGACTCCCCGAAATAACTGTAGGAAGTGCGTCAACCACCTGAATCTGCATCCGGGCGAACTCCTGAATCAACTGGCTCTGCTGTGTAACAACGTATGTCAAGTCACCCTTCACCTTACGGCCTAAGGCATTAGCAACAACATTCGCCTTCCCCGGGTGGTACTGAATCGTGCAATCATAATCCTTGACCAGTTCTAACCAGCGGCGCTGTCTCATGTTGAGCTCCTTCTGAGTGAAAATGTACTGTAGGCTCTTATGATCGGTGAAAATCTCGCATCGACCGTCGTACAGATAATGTCGCCAAATCGTAAAGGCATGAACAACTTCAGCTAGCTCCAAGTCGTGCGTCGGATAATTCTGTTCATGGGGTTTTAACTGGCGTGAAGCATAAGCAATGATCTGGTCATCCTGCATGAGTACACATCCCAAACCCTGTCGTGAAGCATCACTGAAAATGGTAAAACTCCGAGAAGGATCGGGAATAGTCAACACCGGTGCTGAAGTTTGCCTCTTCTTAAGCTCCTGAAAACTCGATTCACATCGATCAGTCCACTCGAACTCCACAGACTTCCTCGTCAGCTAGCATAAAGGAAGGGTAATCTTGGAAAAGCCCTCAATGAATCTGCGGTAATAACCAGCCAAACCGAGAAAACTGCGAACCTCGGACGGACTCCTCAGTGTCGACCAGTTCTGAACGGCTGCAACCTTGGAAGGATCAACCTCAATACCTGCCTGCGTAATCACATGACTAAGAAAAGCTACTCGCCGGAGCCAGAATTCGCATTTGGAGAATTTTGCATATAACTTTTCTCTTCTAAGGGTTTCAAGAACAACCCTCAGATTCTCCTCGTGTTCCTCCTGACTCTTTGAGTAGATAAGAATATCATCAATGAAAACAATGACAAACTGATCAAGATAGGGATGGAAGATATGGTTCATCAGATCCATAAATACGGCTGGCGCGTTACTGAGACCGAACAACATGACAATGAATTTATAATGACCGTAACGAGTACGGAAAGCGGTCTTGGGAATGTCTGGCTCCTTGATTTTCAGCTGATGGTAGCCTGATCGCAAATCACTCTTAGAGAAAACACAAGCTCCCCTCATCTGATCAAATAGATCGTCAATCCTGGGAAGCGGAGATTTGTTCTTGATCGTCAACCGGTTAAGATCCCGGTAGTCGATACACATGCGCATGGATCCGTCCTTCTTCTTGACAAAGAGAACGGGTGTTTCCCAAGGTGAAACGCTCGGCCGAATGAAACCGAGTCGTAATAACTCCTGAATTTGCACCTTAAGCTCTTGCAATTCTTTTGACGCCATACGATAGGGTGCTTTGGAAATTGGGCCGGCTCCTGGAATAAGATCAATAGAGAACTCTTCCTGCCGGTTAGGCGGTCCTCCTGGAAGCTCGTCCGGAAACACGTCCACGAACTCACGAACAATAGGAACGTCACGAGGTGAGCGTGCCTTCGGAGAATCATCAACAAGGCTGACGAGATAACCCTGACAGTTGCTTCGTCGCAACATCTTCCTGGCTTTCGCCATAGAAATGACATGTGGTAAGGAACGAGTCATAGTGCTGAAGAAAGTAATCTGATCATCTCCCGTAAGATAAAGGGTAATCTCCCAGTCATGACATCAGATATCTGCATGAAAACGTGTTAGCCAATCCATGCTGAGTATGAGGTCAAACTCCCTCATCTCGAGAACATAAGCGTCGGTAGACAATATACGGCCACCGATAGAAAGACTGAGGTCTGTGGCTCTGGCTGAAGTCACTATCTTTCGTCCCGAGGCTAAACTCACCTCGAGAGGATCGACAGCGGCACTGACTTGAACTCTGATGGCATCGAGACATTGTCGTGATATAGAAGTATGAGTCGCTCCAGTATCAAATAAGGCGAAGACAGGAATGTCATTAAGCATAAGCATCCCAAACATAGTACCTGGGTGTTGTTCTGCCTCTGCCTGATCAACTGCATAAACACGAGCCTGCTGTCTGCCCCTCTGCTGTTGCTGGGGTGGACTCTGGGCCTGTTGTCGGGGCTGCTGCTGCTGCTGTGGCTGCTGCTGGAGTTTCTTCGGACAACAGTTAGCAAAATATCCGGGCTCATGACAGTAATAAAAAATATCCTGGCCCATGTGACACTCTCCGCGATGAAGTCGTCCGCAAGTGGGGCACTGTGGAATCTGTTGTGGCCTCTGTCGTGTCCTCCTGTCCGTCTGGGAAACTTTCCCCTTCCTCTTCTGGTCTTTCGTTGGCTGGGCAGCAGTCGGTGGAACTGGTGGGGCTGTAGGTGACTGGGCTGGGGCAGCTGATTGAGGACGATCGCGGTTAGCCTCCCTCCGAATGCTGGCATCCACCTCCTGGGCAATGGAAACAGTACGAGCGTACGTCTGATTTCCGTGACCTACAATGTTATGACGGACTGCTGGGTAAAGCCCGTTAGTGAAACGCTGTGCCCGCTGTGCCTCAGTACGCACCAAGTCTGGAACAAAGGCTCTGAGTCTGGTAAACTCTCTCTCGTACTCATCAACAGAATGAGTACCCTGTTTGAGCGACAGAAACTGCCGCTCTATCTCAACTCAGTAGTACGTGGGATAGTACTTTTCACGAATCATCTCCTTGAATCTGTCCCAGGTACAACCCTCCTTCTCGTCGGGACGCATACTACAGTAGGCATTCCACCAGAGTCGAGCATCACCGGTTAACTGAAGCTGTGCGCAAGTAACGCGATAGCGATCTGGACAGTCCATGACCTTGAAAATCAATTCAAGGCCCTGAACCCACTCATCAACGATACGCGGATCTCCCTGGCCGGAAAATTTCTCAGGGTGGTAGTCGCGGAACTGTGCGACTACCGTGGCCTGAGAAACAACAGGACGGTCGGGTTCTCTACGGGGCGGCATCTGATCATTAGAAAAGTTCAACATGATTAAAATAAAATGAAATACTTTAACTGATCATTAAAGCGCACAGATCTCTTGACGTGTTGCTAAACATGACTGGAAAAATACTGACTGATATCCTGACTCCTGATCCTGAACATGATTTGAGCATCTTAACTAATTTATATCTGAAACTTTCTGAGCATAGAAATAGTACTTGTTTATAATTTGAAAACATGAATCAACACTTACCTGTAGTCGGCGAGGCGTGAGCTTGACGTGTTCAGGTTTTCGAAAAATTTCTGACTCGTAAACACTTTTAGAGACGCAGAAACGTGCTCTGATACCAACTGTAACACCCCGCTCTTATCATGAAAATCAGTGTGCGTTTATACAAATCGTTTTAAATAAAATACTGATTGGTTTGCAAAATACTGTTTCGGAGTGCTACCATAATACATGACATACTTTTAAATCAGACTGTTTTTAAGAAACGGACTCACAGTCTGCTGATAGTCAAAAGGACTAAGTTTAACAAAAGTGAAATGTCAGTAGAAACTGTAGCGGCAAAACAGGATAGCAGTGCTATGATCATGAAAATGAGGCTACGGGAGATAGCAATAGTACTGCTATGCCAAATTCAAACTGTAAAAAACGTAATAACTTTATAAGCATAACTCCCGTATAATTTAAACTTTATAAGCACACTTAGACATGATTAAGCTCGGTAAAATATTTATCGAGCGATTAGACATGAATTGATTATCGGAAAATTATTCCGAACATGACGTGATATTCAAAAGTTAATTCGAACGTTCTTAACTAAATTAATTAGTTCTGAACGATAACGCTTGATAAAATAAATATTTCGGAACTAAACATGATATTACATTAATAAACATAACGGGTTATTACACACCGAGGCAAAAGTGGTGATGTGGGCATTGGAGTTGATATCCCTTGAAGCGCTCCCAAGCTTCGTGGAAAGTTTCACTGATGTTTTGGCTAAAGCTAGCCATTTGGGTCCGGAGGTCGGTGGTCTTTTGGTGCGAATAATACTTGCCCATGAACTTCTCGTAGACGGCTTCCCACGTATCAAGCAAGCTCGGAAGCAATGTCATGAACAAGTCTTGGCTCGGTCTTTCAAGGTGTAAGGGAAGCACCTCATTCAGAGTTGGTTCTCGATTAGGCCTT